AGCACACGTGTACTGTGGAACCACACGGAAATGGGGGGTAGAGTGCAGGGTGCTGGGGACCTGCTTGCATGGATAGGGTGGTGGAAAGCCCTATAGCACCCAGTGGAGGTGGCTGAGAGGTGCAGTCCCACTTTGGGAAAGGGAGAGATGAAACAAGAAGACACCAGGGGGAGAATCTGGGAAAAAGACCTCAATGGCAGGGGAAACGGGGAGGAGCACAGAGGTAACCCCAGTGCACTGAGGGGTGATGCTATCTGCAAACCTGAAGGGGGAACTGGAAGGGGGCAGATGCATGGGACAGGAACAGGGGAGCTCTAAGGGAATGAAGGGAGCCCGCAGGCACGGGGGAGGGTATCCGGAGAGCCGCGGATAACCCATAGACCTACTGGCTGACAGGCACCGGGAGAGGGCTGCTTGGAAAGCACGGAGGGTGCCGGGGCACAGGCGAGGGCACCGGGAGGCGAGCGGGCCTGCCTGCCAGGGGCCCACAGGGAGCAACGGGTCCCGGCGGCTATGGAAGGACCCCGAGCTCCAGGGCACCCCTCGGGGCTCCCAGCCGCCCTCCCGCTGGCCGGGAGAAGGCCAGGCAGCGCCGCGCTCACCGCCGGGCCCAGCGCTGGGTCCCGCCGCTCACGCCATGGCCGCCGCCATCTTCCCGCCACCGCACGACTACGGTAGTGAGAGGTGCTCACCCGCCCGACTTCCGCTTCCGGGCGCCGGAACAGCGAGGCGGGCCGCGGCTGGCCAGAGTGTCACCAGAACGGGGAGCTTCTGCCACCTGGCGGCAAGGAGGGAACACTGCTGGGGGGGCCGAACACCCCTCCAGAGCCCATCCTGCACCCATCCTGCATCCATCCAGAACCCATCCTGCACCCATCCTGCATCCATCCAGAACCCATCCTGCATCAGTCCTGCATCCATCCAGAACCCATCCTGCACCCATCCTGCATCCATCCAGAACCCATCCTGCACCCATCCTGCATCCATCCAGAACCCATCCTGCACCCATCCTGCATCCATCCAGAACCCATCCTGCACCTATCCTGCATCCATCCAGAACCCATCCTGCATCAGTCCTGCATCCATCCAGAACCCATCCTGCACCCATCCTGCATCCATCCAGAACCCATCCTGCATCAGTCCTGCATCCATCCAGAACCCATCCTGCACCCATCCTGCATCCATCCAGAACCCATCCTGCACCAATCCTGCATCCATCCAGAACCCATCCTGCACCCATCCTGCATCCATCCAGAACCCATCCTGCATCAGTCCTGCACCCATCCTGCATCAGTCCTGCATCCATCCTGCACCCATCCTGCACCCATCCTGCATCAGTCCTGCATCCATCCTGCACCCATCCTGCACCCATCCTGCATCCATCCAGAACCCATCCTGCATCAATCCTGCACCCATCCAGAACCCATCCTACATCAATCCCGCATCCATCCAGAACCCATGCTGCACCCATCCTGCATCAACCCCGCATCCATCCAGAACCCATCCTGCATCAGTCCTGCACCCATCCTACATCAATCCCGCATCCATCCAGAACCCATTCTGCACCCATCTGCCACCCCCTGAAACCCAGCACCCACTCTGCAGCCTGATCAACCCCTGCACCCTATTCCAGCACTCCCTGCACTCATCCTTCACCCCTCTTCCTGCACCCCGGTCACGGACCCTGCACCCATCCTCCACCCCATCCCAGCCCTCCCTGCATCCCCATCCAACCGTCCCAAAGCCCCCTGCACCATCCTGCACCCCTATCCCACACCCCAATGCCCCCTGACACCCCCACACCACCCACGCCTTGAGCATCCCAGACCTCTCCATCCCCAGGCACCCCAAATCGCTGCACTGGAGCACTCCAGGGTATCAGCCCCCCCACACCTCGCCCCCAGCACCAGCGGCAGAGATTGGGGTCACCCCTGGGCACCCCTTCAGGCTTTCCAAGGAGCTTCAAAGCTTTCTGCTCCCCCAGGCTTTCAGCAGCATCCCCCTTTGTGGCCCCAGCATTAGCAGCCGGCAGCGAGGGGGGCACTTGTCCTTCAAAGGGAAGGAAGGAGGAATGTCAGGGGGGCCCTTGAGATCCATTCGCTGGCCTCTCACCGGGGCCAAGCTGCCAGGCTGGCACCTGCAGCCATTCCATCAGCGGGTGCAGGAGCTGGGAAGAGCGAGCAGGGGGTGGGATGCTCAAACCAGGATGCCAGAGAGCCTCATGGGTGCACCCCCTTCCCATGGGGCAGGTGGCCCCACAGGGCACAGCACTAATAGCATCAGGATGGAGAGGGATGCTCCTGCTGCACCAAAGCTGTTGAAATTCCCAGGGATCCTCCATGTGTTTCATGGGATGCTTCAGGGTATTGGGGTGGAGCGGGGCTCCACTATCCCAGGGGATGTGACTTGGATGTCCCCAAATGCCTTCCGCAGGGATAGGGAAGGCAGCCTGCCTGGCATTTCCATGCAGCAGGAAGGGGTCCCTGGGGGATCCTTGTAGCTGCCACCCCACCTGCCTGCCCCATTCCCATCTCCCACATTTCCATGCCCACCAGCCATACCCTGCATCCATTTCCTCTCTCCCAGTGGCAGGAGGCGCGATGACAAGACTAAAATGAATGGCCCCAGCGCCTCTCTTTGTCTCTGCCTCCTGCCTAATTAATTGAGATCCACCTTAATAGGATCAAACTAAATACCAAAGAGCATCCAACCACACAGCTGCTGGCAGGAAAACAACCGCCCGGCGCACACACACACAGTGAAAGACAGCTCGCTGGACAAAAGAGCCATTAACACACCTGCAATTAACATCTTCCGGAGCTAATAACTTCATCACCACAATATCCCCACAGCCACAGCCCCCACGGTGCTGAGGAGGGGGCCGGGGGACCCTCACTTGAAGCGGTTTCTTCCCTTAGCAGGGTTTGCATCACATGCAATACAGCTCATTGTGGGCATGAGGCTGGGGGCAAAGTTAGTCCTGGCTCCCTGGGGAGCATCCATTGAGGTGGATGCTGAAGGCTCAGAGCTCCTGGGGTGCTTCACCAGCTGCTGTTTCCCACCTCTGCAGTGTTTTGTGCCACCCCAGCAGTGGGGGAGACATCACTGTCCCCATCATTGTCTGCTAGGGGACAGTGGGGTGTCCCTTTGCATACTCCCTGGCCAGGGGGAGATGGCAAACCCCATCCCAGAGCGCTGGCACAGGGGTTAGTGGGGTTGGTGCAGAGGTTGCTGGGATGGATATGAGGGTTACTGGGCTCCTCCAGCCTCACATGTCAATGGTTTTGGGTCTCACTGGGTTGGTTTTGGTGGAAGCCCCTTACCCCCACTGCAGCAGCACTCTCTGTGCCTTCACAATGAGCCTCAGCACTGGAGGGTATCACCAGCCCCAGCACCCTCTGCCAGTGCCACGTCCACATCCAGCCCGTTATTCCAGAGACAGAAAGTGGGTTAAAAGGGAAAATAATACATCTGAGCCCATTCGGGCTGGTTTGGAGGATTTCTGCCATTCCTGAAGCCAGGACCCTTCTGCTGTTCTTTGGCTGTTTCCCAAGTGCCTCCCAGCTCTGGATCCCATGGATGTTCTCCCAGGATTGGAGAGGCTGTGTAAGGACAACAGCACTGGGGGGATCACACAGAGGGTGATGCACCATCAGCCAGATACAACCCCCAGCATGAAATCACTGTGGGGAAAAGCTGGATTGTCCCCTTGCAGGGATGCTTGTGGAGGAAGAAAAACCCTCCATGTGCTGAGCATCACCATTCCCCTCCCATGGCCACAGAGCTTGGTTGCTGTTGATTTCCCCATTGTGCCAAGGGTGGGGAAAATAAAACCCAATTGCTTTTAAGATACTGAAATGAGGGTGAAATATGTACAAGAGCCCAGTGTGGGGAGGAAGGCTTCAGCCTGTGCATCCCCTGTGCCACTCTGCAGGAACTGGCTGCCTCCATGGGGTGTTCTTAGGGTGAAGCATCCTAGGAGTGGCAGCAACAAACTTCAGAGGGGGAAGCTCCTGTTGGTGTGAGAAAAGAGCAAAGGGAACAGAAGGAGACCTTGGATGTCTCTCATTCTCCCAAGGAAAAAAGGATGTAATTCCATATTTAGATCTCCCAAGCCCAGGCAGTGTCTCCGTTCATGTATGCAGAGTTTTGGATGGGGAACCACATACACATGGCTTTATAAATGGGATGAAAAGGTCCTGTCCTTAACACTTGCTCTGGTGTTAACTGGCATCAGAGGCTCTTTCTGAAGTGGGACTGAGGAGCTCCAATGGGATCACCACCATCAGAACGGGGTCTGCAGGTCTGGAACCCATGGGTTTCTTCCTCTTGGGGCTGTCATTTCTCTACTTTGAAGGCAAGATCTGCTTCAAACACCTCCCAGAGCTCTCCTGGCCTTTGCACAGTGCACGTAGAACTCCAGGGGCAGGAGGTGGGGGCTCACTGGGGTGCCCCATCCTTCTGGGGTGCCCACAGAAGGGTGCCACTACTGGATAATGGGGATCCCCTCAGCACAGGGGACAGGCAGGGAGACAGCATCACCCACTGCAGCAGGGTGTCCAAGCTATCCCATGGTAAGAGCTGGATAAGCTTAGCCCACAGCCAGCTCTGTGCATGGGGTGACAGCCCTGTCCCCCCCCCCCCAATGCACCCACCACCACGGGGTGACACCCCTGTGCATCACCCCCCCCACAGCCCTATACCCCACTATACACCTATCACAGGGTGACAGCCTTGTCGTCCCCCCCCCACTCCCCGTGTCACCTATGGGGTGACAGCCCCATACCCACCGTAACCCACCATAGGGTGACACCGTGTGTCCCCTCCCGTGTTACCCGATGATGGGGGATGCAGCCCGTCTGATGCGCAGTGACATTTGCAATCTGTTGCCATGGGCGCTCGGGGACTTTTGCTGTGGAGGGGAATCGCGTTCCTCTTTCCCCCCCCCCCCTTTTCCTTCATCCTTCTCCTCCTCCCCTTCCCTCCCTTCCGATGACGTCATGGATGACCACGATGGTGACAGGGCCACCTGTGGGCTGGTGAGGGGTTTAAAGAGACAGTCTGCAGCTCCAACAGGAGCCCCGGCTATTGTCTCCTCACCTGAGAGCAGGGACCACCCAGACCAACATCCATACATCCATCCTATCCGGTCCCACTCTATCCCTGCATCCCCCTTGCCTTCAGCACTGCAGCTCTCTCCCGGGACCTGGGCATCCCAAGCTGAGTCCTGTATCCCTTCTCTATGGAGGCTTTTCCAAGGTAAGGCTGCGCTCCGTGATATCCCATATCCCAGTGGGGATCCCGATGGGCTGCGGCTCCGAACGTTCGTAGCCGCAGCCCATCGGGATCCCCTCATAATCCAAACCCCATACGAGGCATCCCCAGCTGGGACCAGTCACTTCTATCCTCTACTGGGACGCTGCCACCTTCCCCACACCTCCAAACAGGACACGGGGCTCATTCCAGAAGACAGGACAACAAAACCCCTGAGGTGGCAGGTCCCCACTCACATAAAGGGGTTGGGATGCTCCTGCCTGCGGTAGTACCGGGATGTGGGGGTCTCCAGTGTTTTTCATCCCTTCTGGCATTCCTAAAACGCTTTGGAAGATGCTCACCACTGGGTATCTTCTATGACCCCCCCTCCAGGCAAGAGCCTTGGGCATCTCCTTGTCCCTGCTGTGGTCCTCACCAAGGGGACCCTTCGAGCTGATGCTATGCCTGGTATCTGAAACCCACCATAGCCAAACCCTGAGGGGACACAGGTGATGCCAGGAGACATGGGTGATGCTGTAAGAGCAGGCAGAGGCAGGGGGTGAGGAGCACTCCTCATCTTGGATGGGGGGAAAGGACCATCTCTTGGTCCCCAGGGCTTTGTCCCACTGTCCTTCCAGCTCCGATGGGATGAGCAGCAGGTAAGTGCTTCTGCTTGGTGTCACTCGGATGTGCAGGCAGGGAGCTGGATAGGAAAGGGATCTGGGAGCTGGGAGAGGCTCGGAGAAGAGCAGGGTGGAGATGTGTGTGTAGGGACCGGAGTGTGCATATTGCCAGCAAGAGGAAGGTGATGTCCCTTCCCACAGGACATAATCCAGCAGTGAATGAGCAAGTCACCAAACTCCTTGGTGGCTCCCACCGGGCATCCCTTGAGGGTCTTCCCAAGATCCAGATCCACTTAACTCCCATCAGCTACAGAGCCACTGGTCCTGCAGGGGTGGCTGTGGTGGAAGCAAGGCAATCAGAGTAAACCTCATGGCTAGTAGCCTGGGTTGCCCCTGCATGATGGGAGACATGGGGCAGGAGGGGAAGGGACCATGCTCCAGTGACTGTGTGGTCCATCCTGGAGGAGCTGGGCAGATCCAAGGATGCAGCTGCCCATTTTGGGGGTGGAAGAGGCAAAATGCAGACTGTCTGATGGGTGGAAACCTCTGCCTGGGTGGCTTTGGCATCTGCCCACTTGGTAGCAGCTGAAGTGCAGGGACACAACCCGCGCCTTGCTGCACATGGCCTGGGAGATCTGGGGGAACACCTGCAGTCCCCTGTGATGCTCAGTCTTTGTCCTCCTCACTGCCACAGGGGGACACTGGGGACAAAATGGGGAGCTCTGGTTCCAGCATGGCATGGGGCAGCCCTGGCTGGACCCACCTTGCTTTGGGGGACTCTGGGGAGGCTGCTCCATGGGCAGTTTCCAAGGGGATGCTTGGAGACCTGTGGTTGAGACCTGCTGGAGGGGGCATCCCTTTCCCCCCCCTGCACTGTGTATGGGGCAGCGGCTGCTTGAGTTCAGCCACAGCAATCAGGGCTCAGTTTAGTCCTAGATGAGCACAGAGAGGGCTGTCTGTTGTTCCAGTGGGGCTACAAGCGAGCGGAATAACCCGGGGTGTAGCGCCTGGCTCTGGTCCATGTGCATGGACACACTGAGCAGGCAGGAGACACACAACACACAGGAGGAGTTGTAGAGTAGCGGCTGGCTGTGCCTGGTGGTCCAGGGATGTGCTCTCTGGCTGAGCACCTTTTGCTGCCTCATAGCCCTGTGAGAACACGTAACCAGAAGGGAACTGATGCCCGTGCGTGAGGACACCCAAATATACATTCAGACACACGTGCTGTACCCAAATACGTCGCGGCACTGGGGAACGCCAGCGCGCAAGCTGGTTACGCTCCCAGCTCCCCCCAACAGGCGATTTCACCTCCCCTCGATCCCTCAGGGAAAACTCTTCCAGTGCTGGTGATGGATAACGCCACCGGAGCGTGGGCTCTCCTCCTGACCCTCCTTCTGGCAGCATCCGTGTTCCCTTTGCTGGCTTTGTAGGCTCCAGTTCCAAACGGCGCCTGAGCTCAAGGCTAAGCGCCTGCTTGCCGGTGTAATAAGCAGGGATAGGGTCTCCAACAGGGGTTTGTTCAGGTGGGGAATGAGGTCAGGACCTCCATCCAGCAGCAAGGAGCCCAATCCTTTCCCTGTGAGAGGCAGAGTTAAGGTGAAGTGACCAATTCCACCTTCAAGGCTCATCCCCGGGCTGTGTTTTCTCATCAGGGTCCAAGCCCACCCAAGGCTCAGGCTGTTACTGTGTGCTGGAGCAGTCAAACACCAAGAGGGGTGAAGGTGGCTTCCATCCCACCCTTGTCACGCTTTGGGCTGGACTGTGCCCAAGCCATGGGGAGAAGGGGAGGAACCGATGCCACCAGGCAGTATCCAGCATCCCCGCTCAGACTGTGCACACAGCAGGCACTGGCTTCTCAGCAGCAACACAGAGGCTTTTCCAGCATGGTCACTTAACCCTGTTAATTCCCTTGTTTTCTCCTGCCAGGCCTGCTCTGCCCCTGCCTGGGGTGTCCCAGAGCCTCCTAATTGCACTAGTGAGCTCAGTTTCTCTCCATCACTGGGGAGCTTTTCTCTGGGGTTGTTTTGGGGACTGCTGGCCCTTGGGATGGGGCAGTGAGCAGCAGCAGCCCTATTTGCCCTTTCCCCTTCACCATCTCCATATGAATTATGTCAGTCTTTGATTGACTCCCTTGCTCCCTGCTCACACGGAGATGAGGTGTCACCAGGGGTGATGGTGATCCTCAGCACAGCGCAGTGCTTCTCCCATTCTGTCTTCCCTGTGGGGAAGGCACCAAACATGCAGTGCGAGGAAGGGCTGACCGAGCTCACCTAACCCACTCACCTACGTCCACATCTCCAAGGCTGTTTTGGAGCTGCCAGAGTTGATTTGGAGGTACAAGAGCTTATCCCCACACCGGTCCCCCACTCTCTTCCCCTCATCATCCAAGGGAGGCTTCAGGGTGCCAAGAACACCCCGGAGCATCCCTCACCTTCCACCTCACCATCCCCACCTCCTGTCCCCAGGCCATCTGGCCACACTCATCCATGTTAAACAAATGCTGGAGTCTATTATCAGGCCCTGCCTCCCCCTTCCCCCCTGGACAGATGGAGGCTGAGCGCACCCGGAGCCCCGGCCCGCAGCATTCATGTGTGTGAATGAGAAAACTGAATTATTTATGGCCATGCGAATAAGGCTGCCGGCTGCGGAGGCCGAGCGAAGGGACTCCATTACGTGGCAAGGACCTGTTGCTATGGAGCTGGGGCTTCTTCCCCACAGCCCCCCGTGCACGGCTGCATCCCTTCTTGCACCCCATCCTGCCCTCATCTTCACAGGGGTGGGATGGAGAGTAGCACTGAGCGCTGGGTTGGCCATGGCGTGCTCAACCCTGGGTGTTTTCATCCCTGCACTGTTCCTGTTCCTTACCCAGACTTGTTTGGAGGTCACCCCAAATCTCCCCACATTTCAGAGCTGGACCCCCAGTGCAGTGTGGGGACAGTGTAATGCTGGTGGCCAGTAGCTCCCTGGTCCACAGCACGCATTGGAACTGCTGGGAAGTGTTGGGATGCGCAGCAGCAGCAGCATCTCATGGCTGGGGCTGGGTAAAGCAGATACCGGCACAGCATGGGGCAAAGGGTGACTCAGCTCACAGGCCTTAACTCCCCTTAAACCTCCCATCCCCGGAGGCAATGGGAGCTGTGAGTCAAGGTCTCCCCCGCCCCCAGTGCCCAGGGCAGAAAAGCAGCTTTACAAGAGGGGGGACCCCTGCCAAAGCCGCTCCCTAGGGATGCTGAATCCTACAGTGATGCTGAGAGAGATGCTGGGACATCCCCCACTCCCACTGTCTCCTTGGCCAAAAAGTGGGACTTTGTCCCTTTTGGGGCACAGTCCCTCCTGCCTTGATGCCCACCTGCGGTCGGGACAGGCTCCCAGGGACCGTGAAGGGATGGGACCCAGCAGCCTCCATCCCTGTGCGGTGGCAGCGCAGGGACTCCCACTCCCTTCCCTGCAGGGCTAAGAATAGACTCCAGCTCCGCTCCTGGCGCTGAGTGGGCTCTGCTGGGCTCGGAGGAATAAAAAGCAGGCAAATGCTTATTTTAGTCACTGCAGTCGGCAGCTGTGGCTCTGATGTACCCAAGGAGCTGCTCCACACCGTGTTTACTCACCCGCTACTGGGAGCAGAGGCACTGTTGCAGACCACTTATCCAGGCTATGGATGTCCCCCACCGTGCTCCCAACCCCATCCTGCCTGGCTCCCAACCCTTCTCCAGCACACCCAGCTGCTTCCCTTCCTCCTTTTCCCATGTTTCTGGTGTGAGGGATGCAGATGCTCCCACCCTTCCCCACGCCTTGAGGGATGCTCCCCCGCTGCTCCCTGATGCTGGAGGCCAGCGGAAGATGCTTAGGGCTTGAAGAGGGGCACATCCACTATACGGGACACAGGGAGCTTGTCCCTACCACCTGAGATAAAGGGGATTTGCAGACATCCCTATGTCCCAGTGAGGCATATGTCTCAAGGCCGGGGGAACCACCCGCTCCTCTGGGAGAGCATCTCTGGGTCCCTCTCCCCAGCATTCCCCCCCGAGGTAAAATCAAGGAAAAGCTAATTGTTACCATAGTTACGTGAAGTGGCCTTTCTCAGGGAGCCGCGTCATCACTGCTGTCACAAGGTTAAGGCGGTGGGGAGTGGTGGTGGTGGGGAATGGGGGGGGGGGGGATGTGTTTTCTTTGGGAAAAACCATGGCAACAGCTATTTCTAAGGGAACAGCTGTGCACGGTGAGGCCATGGGGAAGGGGAAGGGGTTGGGGCATCTCTGTGCCAGCCGTGCACTCAAGGCTGGTCCAGCGGCTCAGCACGGCAGCCTGTATCTGCAGGGTCCCCTTCCCACCAGTGACAGGGCTCAAGGGTGTCTCCCACAGTGCCAGCATGGTGCAATGAGCTCC